CACCGGCATATGGATGGCTGGGGCTCCAGTACTTACAAACTGGTCAATAGTGACAATCAACCCGTTTATAACAAGTTCTTTTGGAGGACCAATCAGGGGGTTAAGAATCTGGACGTCGACACCGCCAACAGGCTCGTCGGTAGGACTTCTGAGCAATTGAATTGTGTTTGAGTTTTATGTTTTAATTATTTTGATTTTTAATTTAAAATATAGTGACTGATCCGGATTATTCAGTGCATGACTTGTTTGACGCGATCGCTCGCAAGGACTACCCCTCTTGGACTCTATACATACAAGTGATGACATACGAAGAGGCGGCCAAATGGGAGTTCAATCCCTTTGATATCACTAAAGTTTGTTATCATTTACTTTCACTTCTGATAAGCCATACATCACTTCATGTCTGATCTGATATGATCTGAAATACTTTTATATGACTAATACTGGTATAACTTATTGTCTGAATTGTATTATATGTGTAAGATATGGCCAGAGGACGAGTACCCCCTCATAGAAGTGGGGCGAATGACTTTAGACCGAAATCACACCAATTATTTCGCCGAAATAGAGCAGTTGTCGTTCTGTCCGGCCAGTAGAGTCCCGGGGGTTGAGTTCAGTCCCGATAAGTTACTTCAGGGCAGACTATTTGCATACCAGGACACAGCCAGACATCGGTTTGACTTTCAGCCGACTGTTGAGACAATAATTAATTATAAATTATTACAGAATTGGCCCCAATTTTCACTTGATTCCAGTGAACCGTCCGATCGCACCTCTAGTCTACCCGACCCAACGCGATGGCCCAATGATGGTGGACAGCAATCAGGGCAATGCCCCCAACTATTACCCGAACTCATTCCTCAACGCAAAGGATGACCCCAAACGGTTTGATGAGTTCCGGTTCCAGATCACCACCACTGATGTGGACCGGTATGAGTCAAAGGACGAGGACAACTACACCCAAGTGCGACAATTCTACCTGTCCTTCACCAACGATGAGCGCCAGAGACTCTACAGCAATATAGCGTCGGAGCTGTCGTTGACGTACACCAGTATTCAGGAGAAGGCGTACGATATGTTCAGTCGAGTCCATCCGTCTTATGCCGAGGGCGTCAAGAGAGCCGTCCAAAGGGCCGCACAAAACACCGTTTAATCGTATTATTTACACAATTAATGCTTTAATCTATTGGTGTCGGGATTTATCAATATTATTGACAATTATTATTAATTTTGGTACTAGTGATGGTAGTAGTTTATGAAATATTCAAGGTTTTATTTTAAATATAATAGGCTCAATATTTACTTAACTATAACAATAATATAATTACTAATATTTGACTAATTAATCTCTATAATTAATCTCTTAAGATAACTAAACTAATATTTAAATTAACATAATTAAGTTCAAAATAAAATTTTATTTGCAAAACATATTCTTGAAATTTTTAGTCAATATAACACATTGTGTTGTCAATATTAAATAATTGTTATATTAAGTTAGTAAATAATTAAAATGTTAGATATTTGTAAAACTAAAACAATCTGGTCACTTCTTAACTCAAATTACAAATTATTAGTTTCCATATAAATAGTAATGAATAGAAATATGATTAACAGAATCGGAGACCAAATAAAGAAAAATGCAATTATTATAACAAAAATCAACGACTCGTTCACACCATTCAAGTGATCAATCGTTTGCCTCAATCTCGTCATCTCTTGAGTGCCATTTATCCAACACTTGTGTCTCTTGAGAGCCATTCTGGTCATCAATTGATCGCATAATCCACACTTGATTTGCATAAAAGGATTGTAAACGCAATCATTGACGTGATGTTTGAATGTCTTGAGACGGATGATGGACTGACAGCCCTCTGTCTTGTATTCGCAGCGAACCTTGAGCTTATCCAAGAGGTTGAGCACCACTCTGGGGGCCGGGAGTATGCCCTTGAGACTCAACTCGTGTCTGTCCATCGGACACGTGCCGTAGTGGACGAGCCATTCCATGAGACACTTCTTGCAGAACATGTGCTCGCATTCCGTGACAATCGGTTCGCTGAGCACTGACTTACAGATCCCGCACAAGAACTCTTCGTAGACATAGGACTCAAACTGCTTGCAGTCGTAGTCCTCCATCCCTTCGCAGGTCTCAATAAGAGTGACTGATTTACGGGTCAATCATATAATGAACACAATTTTAATGTGATTATAACAGGAGGACTCTTAATATTTGCTTTTCTTAGTCTAATGTGTAAATGAGATAAACTTTCAAAACAATTCTTCATTCATACAACTCTCAACACTTTCTATCAGTTGGACATTAATTTATAGACAATAGTTTATCTCAACTAGATCTATGCATATGAGCAGTGAATTTATAAAATTCTGTACAGGCTCATCATTGCAAGAATTTCCATGTGTTTGAATATTAGTATAATAGGCATCTTATCAATGTTTAGTCCTTTATGAACGATAAACTTATTGATTACAAGTTTATGTTAATTTTATTATAAAAATTAATATGTGTATTTTTTAAAGTAAACTAATATATTATTTATATCGTATTGTCAGATTATATTTATTTAATCAATCCTGATTTTAAAAATTAAATTTAAATTTAACTTAATATTTAATTCAAAATTACTATTCAAATTGCCAGAAATGACACTGATAATTTATTCGTTGAATATTGAAGAGTATTTACCAAGTTTTAATATTAATAGATCTTAATTTAAAATGAAAATTTAATGCATTAACCAATATTATTACATCAAT